ACAGAGGTGACCATGGTATTTTGTAGGGTATATGCTCTTAGTTAAGTATAGGGAATCACCCTTATGACAATATCTAATTACCATATTTAATTACCCATCCTAATTTCGCCTACTCAAGTTTCATATTAGGGTGAGTTATGATATTCCCATTATTGTTCCATTAAATAGTTGTGACCCAAATAATGGTATCGGTTTAGTAGATATTCGGGACGTTTTATTAAAATAGAACACATAAATGCTATTCCATTTATATGATAGACCATAAATAGGGGGTCACATGGATACACTCCAAATAACCATCTTACGGGAGCATTTATTATAACCCTAACTATAATGATTAATTTATACCAAATACCTCATTCATAATGAATTGAGTGAGTACCATAATACTTATAAGACGGAGAAAATCAGTCTTATCCACATCAATTGTGTACCATAGGCCATAAACTTATTCACTTAGGTGTTGTTTGATAATCGGGAATGACACACCGGGAATGGGAATTCTCACTTCATTCCTTGATGGTGAGGTGTTTGGTAATCGGTAATAATATGGGAATGGGAATAAACTTTTTGTAAGATGTCATTACTTTTGGAGATGCGAGTTTAAGTGGGAATGAGAAAAAAAAGGCGCTATTTTTTTATCTTAAAAATATCATTAGCTTTTAATAAATATTACAATTATGCCATTATAAATACTAATCTCTTTTCCTACGATACCTAACTAGCCACCAAAACTCATCTCTTTCCCAACAACCCTTTCTCGCAGTAGCCCTTTCTTCTTCTCTCGATCTGTTTTTTTTTATCTTGAAATAAATCTAAATTGACATTGTTTTGTGTTCCCTTTAATCTTAATTAGGTAGCCACCAAAATTGCAACATCATATATGTCCCTTAACGAGTAATATTTCTCTCTTGTGTGTGTTTTTTCTCTTTTAACAACTAATCTTTCTCTCCTTGTGATATTATTTTTCTTCTTTATTGATAATTTCATAGTTTTTATTGGAGTTAGATTAATGGGCAAGTGATATTTAGGATTTTTAGGATTTGTGGTAGAGATAATTAATGTATGAGGGAAAGTTTGATGGGAGAATATGGCGAGTGAGAGTTAAAAAGGGTTTTTAATGTTAAAAATAGCTCTATCTTGTTAATACCAAAATTGGTCTTTGGTAAAATCTTGATTCCGCAAATGGGTTTTTAACGTTTTTTACTTTTATTTTCAAAAAGTAAATATTTTTTGAAGTGATCGAGTGAGCTTATATCATGTGTGTATCCCCTCCGATACTCGAAAAGTGAGATCTTTCACCTCTTTGTTCCTTAAAAGCCAAGTGGGTCAGCCTTCTTCATTTTCCCTCTCTTTGAAGTTTTCATTAATGGGTTTCTTTATTACGAGCTATATTTGTAGTTTGTGAAAGTGTTGTGGTTTTTCTTGCTTTCTTTTCTTTGTTTTCTGTTTAAAGATTGGAACTTTTTTGCGCTTGGAGTTTGAAAGTTTTTGTCTTTAGTTGGAATCGAAGTAGCGATGATTGATTTATTGATATTTGTAATCGTGCCTAGAACTTCTTTTGGTTTATATAGTAGTTGATATGATAATGGAGTTGGAACCACTCGACTATGTGATAGTGTTGTAACAAATGGGTTTTTAACATTAAAAAAAATAATTAAAAAGGTCTCTCAATATCTTAAATTTCTCTCTTTGAATGTGTTTATGCATGAATTTATTATAATTATAAGTGTGCCTACAAAATATGGAATCACTATTATTTATGTACACAAATTCTACACGAGGAATTTGCTTAGGTTTAATATGAACCACCTTATCCGTACAAAACATTTCACCCATCCTCTTTTCTTTCTAATAGTTATGGCTCGTTCACCTCGCAACGAGAGATATTGTTAGACACATCTCGGAGAGAAGACGTAGGATTAAATTGATTATTATATTGTTAACCATATTGATGTATGTCATTTGGAGGCATATGTTGAGGTTGATAAAAAGAACCTAGTAGACATAATCCAATAGCACGCATTCAACACCTCAATGGCATGATTGTTGCTAGTGACATTGCATGTATTGAACAACTTGGAATGGATAGACATACTTTTAATGTTCTTTGTTTGTTGGTTCGAGATATCGGAGGACTTGGAGATACTAGAAATATGAATGTTGAGGAAATGGTTGCAATATTCTTACACCTTATTGCATTTAAGGAGAAAAATCAAGAAATTAAATATGATTTTCAATGATCGGGAGAGACAATAAGCGGACATTTTCATGGAGTCTTAAAAGCGAGTACTAAAGCTTTGGAGAGTTTTACTTAAAACCCCCGAACACGGTACTACCAATTGCAATGATGAGAGATGGAGGTGGTTTGAGGTGGGTGTCTTGTCTTCATAATTTTTTCTTATAACTAAAGTAAACTGTCATTAATTTAACTTTAGTTTTATGTTTACTATAGAATTGCTTAGGAGCTTTAGATGGCACATACATTAGAGTAAATGTACCGGTACTCGACAAGTCACGATATCGAACAAGACAAAATGAAATTGCAACAAATGTTCTAGGCGTGTGTTCTCAAGATATGCAATTTATATATGTTTTACCTGGTTGGGAAGGTTCATGTGTTGATAGAAGAGTGCTTCGAGATGCTTTAACTAGGACAAATGGGTTGAAAGTTCCTAGGGGTGAGATATATTATAAATGCAAACTTATATATTACACTAATTAATATTTAATATTCTAATTTTTTATATTTTATTTATTAGGTTTCTATTATCTTGTTGCTGCTAGATATAAAAATTGTGAGGGATTTCTTGCTCCTTGTAGAGGTCGGCGTTACCACCTTAATGAATGGAGAACGGGATATCAACCAAATATGCCGGAAGAATTTTTTAATATGAAACATTCAGCGACAAGAAATGTGATTGAGAGGACATTTGGATTGTTGAAGCTACGTTGGGAAACACTTAAATATCCAACTTACTATCCTATTGATACACAAATTGATGTCATATTAGCTTGTTGTTATATTCATAATCTCATTCGACAACAAATGAGACTTGACCCAATGGAGCAATATTTAAATACCTTAGTAGAAGACGATAGTAATAACATAAATTATACTGCTACTACTTGAAATACCAAACCAATGGACTTGGAGGGATAATCTAGCTAGAGAAATGTATGATTCATGGAGAGCTAGGTGATAAAATATTGCTATTTTTTATTGTTTTTATTTTGTATTGAGATTTTAATTAATTTAATTTTTTTATTATGCTTTCATCTATCAATATTTTAACAATTATATTATTTGATTGGTGGTATGTATATTGTTTATTCCAAATGTGATGTGAACATTATGTGATTGTTTTGCATATATATTTTCTTATGCAATTCTTTTATTAGTTAGATGGAAAATTCAGAAGTGGAGCAAGTTAATTTGCAGCATGAACTCTGGTCGAGGAAGGGGTAGGAATAAACGAATGTGGAATAGCGAAGAAGAATTGGTGTTAGTTGATATCCTTTTGAAATTAGTCGGCACAAAATGGAAGGTGGATACTGGTTACAAGAATGGATTTTTTACTCATGTTGAGAAGCTTATGGAAGAAAAATTACTAGGATGTGGTATTAAAGGCAAATCACATATTGACTCAAAAATTAAGATATTGAAGAAGCAACTTGGTTATATATTAGAGATTCAAAAAAATGGTAGTGGATTTGGATGGGATGATGATAAAAAAATGGTGATAGGAGATAAATCGGTCTTTATGGGATGGGCAAAGGTAAAGTTCATCTTTCTTTTTCCTTTTTCTTTCAAGTTATTATTAAATATTAATTTTTTTGTTTAATTTATTAATACAATGTTATTATGTAGAGTCGTGATGGAGCATCGGCATTGTATATGAAGTCGTTTGTCCATTTTGATAAATTGTGTGAAATATATGCAAAAGATAGGGCTAATGGAGACAAAGCTCGAGGTCCTGGAGAAGAAGAAATTACGGTAGACAACCAAACTAACAACGATGTGGATGATCGAGATACAAATGAGATGCATTCAAACTCAACACATTCAGCTTTTATAAGTCAAGAAGCGACCTATTCATCCGAAGTTGGAAAATCAAAGTACAAGAGAAAATTTGGAGCAATCGATCCTTTACAAGCGAGTTTATGGAGCTATCAAAGTCCATCAAAAGTTTAGTTGAAGCCAAGAAGGAATTAACATACGTTATGAGTGAAAAAGGAGCAAAGTGTTTGAAACTTTAGCGAACCTTGAAGGACTTTCTCCGAGTTGAACTAGTTAAAGCGACAAGCATCATTGGTCAAGATGATAATAAGGTGGAAGTGTTTTTTAGTATCCCGGATAATTACAAGGTCATGTTTGCACGTATTGAGATTGGGTCTACTAATTGATTGTAGCAATGTTGTTGCGATAATTATAGTGGTTGAATTTATAATTTTATGCTTTTTTAAGAATTTTTTTTATAGTGTAGTCCACTCATATGTTGACTGAAAAATCATTTGATGCTACTTAAGTTGCATTTATAGCATACTTTGGATTGATATGAGCGATTATTTGCATATTTTAGCCTTGGATATATTTTCGTAGGATTGAATTTTGTGTTTTAATTTGAAAGTTGGTGTCGGATCCTAATTATGATTACATTTGTATTGCTATTCTTAAACGAGATAAATTCATGGACTTTTGATGAGTTAGTTGGTGCATTTCTTGATCTTGCTATTGCATATTTTATGTTATGTGCATCAACTCTTGCTTTTATTGCTGAGAAGTTTCGGGTTTATTTGGATTCTATTTGCCATGCCCTTGTAATGGACTTTTTGGTGACCACAATAGAAATAAGTGCTAGCAAAGAGTGTTAGTTAATAGCCCATCGGAGAATATATCTTACGTTCGGTTCTCGTTAAGAGTAGGCTCCCTTTTGATTCTATATGGGACAAAGACTTGAATTTTTAATCGAGTAGTGGGATGATAAACAAAGTAAATTATGGAAGTGACAATGTTGGATTGGAGGGTGAAGCGTAGTGTAGCTCATTTAGGGAGAGGAAGAGTGGAATGGGAGTTGAGACTGCTGCAGGTGTACATGAGGGATGTGGAAGAAGGGAAGTTTGATGATAAAGGGAAGGGGGTTTCGGGCCAAAAGGTGAGATATCTTAGGCGACATAAAAAAATTATCGCTAATAATAGGATGCTTTCTTCTGTTTCGTCGTATGATCGTTTACACTCGGATTCGACACCAACTTTTTAATTTTGTGTTTTAATTTTCCATATGATTATGAGTCTTCGGTCTTGTCCAAATCGATACGAGCGGATCGAATGGCTATCCTCAACTTTTTAAACTCCTTCTCTCTTAGATTTTGTTGGTTTTTAAAATGATACATTTCCTCATTTTTCAAAAATAATTCATGCTTAAGTTGTCGTATTTCATCGTCTCTCGTTCATAAATGGTTCACAAGGTCATTTTTTTATCAATCAAATAATGCTTTTAGTCATAATGTCCTTTTCAAGAACTAGGAAAAATGTGTAATTGAAATAGGCAGTTCAATAAGAAAAAAGAGACTATTTTTAGTCGTGATTAAGGAGAGATGATAAAAAACTATCTTTATTTGATTGATAAAAAATATTCACATAATCTTTTTGTGTGTAAAACAATTAGCTTGTTTTAAAAGAATAATAAAAAATATCCATATAATCTTTTTCAAAATTTTAATTGTTTTTATGACAAAATTTATTATGGTCGTTGAAGGGTACGATGGTAAATATATGATATCATTCCGATTCCTATTTGTCTATACCAAACATAGTAACAATTATTTCGAGTGTTTCATTCCAATTCCTAATAATAAGATACCAAACACAATATTTCGATTCCCATTCCTTGTTTTTCATTTCGATTCCTTCATTTTCATTCCCATTGTGTTATTCCCGATTACCAAACAGCACCTCAAGGTTGATAGGAATTAACTGAGGGATATCAAGACTATTGGCTACTAATATTGGTATATGTGCATATCATATATTAGATAAATAGGCTAATAAAACAATATAGGCATATCTATAATTAGTCTCCATGGGTAATTTAATATGCACTAACATATTTGTACTAATAGTAATATTATATAACCAACTCATATACTAGGGGTACAATAGTATATTGGGAATCATATAATTAGCCCTTTATATTATAAGAGGTTTATCATAGATTAGCACTGGATGAAGGGGGATTCCTAAACTTGCCATCTTAAACTATCATAATTGTCTATTAGTATTAATATAAAAACCCTAGTTTTACTAACGAGCTAATTGGCAGCAAGGTGATTATATAAGTTCGATATTGTATCCCCAATAGTATAAGGTTGGTATTAGAGTACGGTAATCCATTCCATGACCTAATATGATTTGTACACTACCAATAATAATGTTAACTAAACTCATTGACATGACCCCTAATCTATCATATTATGTCATTAATCTCATAAACCTATCGGGGGTTATAATATGATAGTATATATCATCCCCACTCATAGTAACCTTATGCCCATGCTTGTCATATATATTACCCTTTATATCTCTATTATACAATCATGTTATCCCTATTGTATAACCCTATAGTATAGATAGAAAAAAGAAGCAAGATATACCATAAGGTTATCTTAAAGGGTTAAATGATTTATTTATCTATTAGTCCACTAATAATATTTAACTATATAGTAGATGTATATTATGATAACGACTTATGGTCTAACTATTTAATAAATTATTTTAAACAAGTAATAGCATAGCCAATCATTACCTAATTCCTTATCAAGTCTTCATTCCCAATGATTTTTTAATAATCCTTAGTGAGGATGGCCCATTATATCTCTCTAATTGATATAATGGACCAACACATACATAGATCCCTAATTTATATAAAATGATTAACTATATGATATAAGGCATCATATATTTATCAATTATCAAGATGTATATGACTCATTAGTATATCCCCGACCATATGTTAAATACATTCTGAATATTATCAGTGTAGTTAGTCCTCTTTAGGCAATATTAATTAGGATATGCCCCAAGATTCGTATCAAGGTCCTAATTATTGATATGCCAAGGGTTATTAGTTGAGTAAGGTAATATGTTCTTAAGTTAGATATTGATATCATACACTAGATAATGACCCTATATTAATAACTCTTACAAGGAGATAGTTGAGGCCACTACCGAGGTTGAAGTATGGACCAAATATACCAAACTTATAAGTAGTAGGCCTTTCATTTGGGGTATATCTAAATATACCCAAGAGGGTAAAATCTATGTTATAATTATTTCCTGGAAGGATGATTGATTTCTAGGTCCTATCAATGATTGATTTTGTTACTATACACGAATAGACTAATACTATGGGGTAAGTGACCATATCTATTAAATACAGATTGCCTATCACTATGATGGGATACAATCACTTAGAGACAATTATTTGCAGCCCATATCAATTATAATTATTACCTTTAAACCCCTAACCCTAAGTATCTATTATCTAGCAATCATTGTAGGATTACTAGCTATGATGGTCAAGGCATAATATCATAGGCAATTATATGGGGCTTAATGGTTATAGGGTATACAGAGATAACTATTTAGTTAGTTTTCATAATGGATTCTATGCTTAGGCCAAATATGGTTCGTATATTGACACTAATGACTTACCTAGTTACTATGGGTAACCCCATAGTATCCAATTCTATGAGTCCATTATACTATGTTCAGCGAGTCTTCCTATTAATATGATAGTTTATAATATTAGTGTTATCAATTTACCAAAATGATAGTATAAGAGTCCAATCCGTATAAGGGTATTATTAACACTCTGGGTTAGTTGTATATTATAGCATCAAATTAGAATTTTGGATACACTTGAGTATCTAGGTTAATATTTTTATAGTTAATATACTAGACCTAATGTATACTAAAAATTCTCCTATATATAAGAACCAATAATTATAGGTAGACATGTGACCTAGGGATATGATATGGTCATATAATATATAGGCGTAGTTAATCACCTTGCCATATCAGATTAAATGAAAATTAACCCAACAGAATAGTTCCCTATCATGGGTGATATATTGACCTCAACTCGTAATGGGGATTATAGCCATCCTCAATGAATATTCCAATATGGTAATCCTTGTGGGTTAGGATAATTCTATGGCCCTTGGGTAATACCATTGATAAAGGATAAAATAATTATATGATATAGTTAAATATATCCACTAACTCTCTATGAACCCGAGATTGGGTACCCTAGTACTAGAGTCCTTAATGGGCATATCTACTAGACTAGTTAAATAGGGACTTATACATAGTTTAGTTAAACATATGTCGATAGAGATCAACCAATTACTATTCAATCATTAACTATCGGGGTATGCATAAGTTATTAGGTTGGTCACTAAGGTCATAACATAATATGTATGGATACTAGGGTTAAACTCATAAACAAGAATTTGAATATACTATTTTTCTATATAATCCATATGTTTAACTAAACTATGTTAATGGCCCTAATTGGTATATAAGTTATCACCATAATGTTATCCTAATCCGTATGAATTCCCTATCTCTCACAAGATTAATCTCACTATCACCCATTTTATGCAAGTTATTACCACTTTTATCACCATAATCCCTTTCCAAAAGGGATAAATGGGATATAATACCTTATGTTTCTTAGAGGACTTCTCCATTAATAGCTTGTTCTAATACAGGGAGTATACTCCACATTATAGTGATAAAAGTATAATAGTTTATTCGACTCAACACACTATTCTACTTGGATGGGAATAGCATATTGAAAGTACCTTAATATACTGATGAAATATTTACTAAATCTCAAAGGGATATAAAAGTTATGCCCATACATATAGGTAAACTATAATACTATACCCTATTCTTAATGAGAGAGGGTACCTACAACTTCACTAAATATGCTTGAGGATTAGTTGATTTAACATATAGTAAAGCTCAACTTTCCCTGTCATAAACAAACATGGGCCATTACCTAGAATATATAAGTGCCTAGAAATGTGACTATATATATACTCACTCATAATGTTGATTATATGGCTATATCTCTTATCTATGAATTAGTTATTTCTATAATATTCTCGGATTCCTCCGTGACTCCTATATGCCGGGGAGGAATCAATTAATAATATTTGATCCATTAGCCTAGGGTTATATTTAGAACAAATAATTTCCCTAGGTATGTCCCATATATTGAATATGGCATATATTACACCCATTTTAATGGCACTCCCGATCCTAACTAGACTATAATAGACCAGATCAGTACCCACATTTATATACCATATCTTAGGGATATTTGAGTTATATTGAGTAAATGGTAGATTGATAGTTAAAATATTGGTATCTTATTTATGTATCGGAAGGGATTATCCTTAATATAAGGACCTTATAAGGGAATAATCATATATGAACATTAATACAATTATTGTTCATAGGTAAGGATAATTAGGTTGGGTATCCATCATCATGAACATTAAATTGTATCATAGGCTAGGTATCACCTAATGTGTTAAATTCATAGTAACCCATATGTAGAGCAATATAGTACTTGATATATATGAACAATAATAGTCCTTACATAATTAGTAATTAATATCCAAATATTAATACTTCTCATATTATATTTTAGGTTATGGTTCAGATTCCCAATATATACTCCAATCGCATAAATTAAGTGGCCCTCTATTATCTCTAGTAATTATTACCAGATATAAACTATGATTATAACAATTATGAGTTAGCCTATATCCAAGTGGAGTATAATATGGCCAAAATCGTACAAGCAATATGGTTCTTTAATTGAAGATATTTTAGTTAAAAAGACTAAATTATAATTTTTAAAGGGCCCAATATGGGTTATGCCTTAGGCCCAATAAGACCTAATGTAAGCATCAACCAAATCAACCATTTTATACACCTAATTAGCTTGGATTTATTCATGCCAATTATGGACACTAAGGGGAGAGAAACTTATATACAACTCTCTAGCATCTCCTAGTTAAGAGTTATATACCCATTAATTATAGCCCCTTAGATGCATATGATATTAATATCATAAAGAACCACATCTTTAAATTGTCCTTATTGATCGAGTTATAATCTTAATGGGCCAAGTATTTGTAGAG